GCAGGGAGCCCGATGTGGGACTCGATCCCAGGACCCTGGGATCATGACCTGAGCCAAAGGCAGACGCTTAACGACTGAGCCACCCAGGCGCCCTGTAAGAGTTCTTTACATGTGACAGCAATAAGATCTTTTATATATATGTTGCAACTCTCTTTCCTTTGTCTTCTGACTTTGTTTTCTATGCACCTTTTTTCCTTTAAAAAAATCTATTGATTTTTCTGATTGAGTTACATGGAATTCATCCAAATAAGTCCACCCTGACCAGTCTCATCCCCAGGCTCTGGGCCTCCCCTCCCTCCTGATCTTTAGCATCTTCCTTTCTTTGCTTATTTCTGACCATTCGATCACCCTGGTCAGATCCTCTGCCATCTTACCCCATCGCCAGTCCTTAGCAAGCCTGGCCAGACCTCAGCAGATGGGGCCCCAGGGATTCCTGACCGCCCATCTAAACTAGGGATGGATCAAGGCGGTGCCCAGTGGTCCCGAGGGGGTTCTGCTCAGCCCCCTCTCCCACTCTGCTCAGCACCTATTTCAAACTTTCTTCAAGCTCCCAGCCCCCTACCTCCTTCACAAAGAGAAGCAGCCCAACTCTTGTGCTATAAATCCGAACCCTCTTTCCCCAACTCCTAATCTGCCACCAGGCTAAATATCCCAGCCCAGGCTTCTCCGAGGAGCATCACAGGGACACTCCTCTGGCTCACTTCCCTCACCACCCTGTTTCCCCACAAGATCATTTCCGCCACCTTCAACCTACTCCATATGCTTTGAAATAAGAATCACCTTCTCTTGACATTCATCTTTCAGGAATCTTTTCTTTTTTCTTTCTTCTTTTTGTCCTTTCACAAACTGGTTGAAGGAGTGGTCTACACTGGCTGCCTCCAGTTCTTCACTTCCATTCTTACCCTGCCCCGTGGCATTCTGACTTCTGTGCCTACCCAGCCCTGAATCGGTTTCTTCTCACTGTCACCAATGACCTCCTTCTTGCTAAAGCCCATGGAGACTTCTCCAGCCCCATCTAACGATGTCTTTAGGCAGCATCTGGAACCACTGACCCCCTTCCTCCTGCTCAGAGCATTCTCTTGCTTTCAGTTCTGGGCCGTGAGATCTCCTGGTTTCCCTTCTACTTCTCTGGACACTCCTGTCTCCTTTCTAGACTCACTTCCGCTAAACGCTCTAGCTCCCCAGGGCTTTGTCCCATGCCTCTTCTCACTTCACAGGTGCCCGGGGCCTCATCCACCCTCCCCAAGCCCCTGTCTCCCACTCGGAACTCTCTGGTGCCAGTGGGGAAGGCACACACAACTGTTCTCTGGATGTCTGCCTAACGCTCCCAAGCCCTTCAAGGTCAAACAGGCCCAGAGCTGAACTGCTGATCTCCGCCCCTGCCCTCCCCTCCCCAGGCCCGATACTTGGCCTGAACTCCAGGCAGCAAAGGCACCAGCACCCCCTCAACTCCTTGCTCTCTCTTAGCTCCACATCCAGCACCCATCGAGTCCTAATAGTCCAGGTACTGAATATCTGTGAAATCACCCCATCTCTAACTACACTGCCAAAATCCACACCCAGGTGGTCACCATCTCTTGCCTGGACGAATGCAAACAAATCCTAAGTGGTCTCTTTCAACTCTTCTCCCGAAAAGCCCCCTTCCCCGGCTCCCGCTGCCCTCCGGTCAAATCTGTGGTCTTTGTTGTGGCTGTTAACCACTCTGCAGCAAGTGGGGCTCCTCTCTTCCCTTACCGTTGTAGCCATCCCGGTCGAGGTCGCCCAGGGGTGCGATGGCCGAGCCGAATCGCCCGTAGAGCTGAGTGCCGGTCAGCAGGAGGCTGGGGACGCCCAGCACGTGGTGACCTCGAGGCTGCAGGAACAAGTACACGCGCCCCACCTCGGCCAGTTTGCGGTCAGCGCGGCTCTCCATGTACAGTGGGGCGCCCACCAGCAGGTCGTGCCTCCTGCAGGCCAGACGGGCAGTGCGGTGGGGTGGGCTAGGGGGATGCGGTGGGCCTGGGCCAAATCTCGCCCATTCCATTCTCACCCTCCCGCTCCCCTCGGTGATCGTCAGGTGGGAGTGGGCGAGGAAAGGAGGAGACCGAGAGCAGTCAACCCCTCTGGTGACTGGGGACCCAAACTGGTAGGGATGGGGCGCCCCTCACCCATCTCCGTTGACATCAGTGACGGTCACCGAGTGTCCAAAATATGAAGCCATCTGCAGGAAGACGAGGCGTACTTAATTCCCGCCCCCAGGCCAGCACCCTCTCTTACACATCGCCCCCCCACACACCCCGTGGAATATTCTAGGGTTCCAATTCCCCAGCGTCGGCCACCCCCACTGGGGCGGGCCTCCACCTGCTCTCCATGCAGCTTGTGCAGCGTCTGGTGGTACGAGTTCAAAATTTCCACCTGCACGGAGAACGCACAGGAGCGCGTCATTCTTGCTCCCCAGGACAGCCTCCCGTCTCGGGTGAGAAAGGGAAGGAGGTTTAGGGGGCTTGTGAGGCTGAGGAGTGGGGTCGGGGGCTTTGGGATGCCCGGTGGCGGGACAGGGCACTCACCGCTCCCAGGGTCCAGCTCCAGGTGGGGGCACCGAGGACATACTCTGGGGAGAGCCGGACCCCAGTGAATGAGGTCCTTCGAACCTACCCCCCTCCCACCCGCCATTCTGCAACCCAGAGGAGATTTCGGTGCGGGGCTTGAAGTGCTCCTCCCCGGGCTGGGCTCCCCAACCTTTGTCCCTAAATGGATTTCTTGCCTGTAGTACTGAGATCCCCGTCGAACTCTCCCACGGCCACCGAGTACCCTGAAGACACAGCACGAATTAATCTTTCTGGGAGGGCGAAGCAGGGAGAGGGCCAAGGGCGAGGAAGAAGGGGACTCAGAGACCACCCAGTCCAAACCCTGCATTGTGGAGATGGGAAAACTGAGGCCAAGACCTGCCTTAGGCTGCGCAGCTAATCCAGGGTGCGAAAGATAAGCTGGGGCATATGGGAGTGGGGCGGTGGCGGGGAAGCTGTGGGAGCCGAGCGCGGAGGCGCCTTAGGTGCTGAGGTTGGCCAGCTGGGGATGGCGCTGCGGCACGGAGTGGGCGGTGATAGAGTGCGGGGAAGCCTAGAAGGGAGGCGCCAGGGTTACCCCGGTAGCCGTCGTAGTACTCTGGCTTGCTGTAGTCGAAGGTGAAGCTCTGGTTGGGCACGTGCCACAAGAGGGTGCCTGGGCGGTAACTCGAGACGATACTGGTAATGGGAGCCCGCGCCAGGAGACCTAGGGCGCAAGAGACAGCGGGTGTGGGGGCCGAGACTCCTGGGGTCTCCCCAGGCCCAGAGAAGGGAGGGAGGTGTACAGATGGGCAGGTACCTAAGAAAAAATAGCCGCCAGGGGCCCCAAGCACCAGCTCTCCAGCCTGAAAGGGAAGCCCTGGAAGTGAGAGGGAGCCCTGTTTGGGAGCCGCCCCCACGCCGCTTAGGCTCCCTGCTCGCCTGAGTAACCACGGAGCTGAAGCCCGCTTCGCAGTAGCGCCGGTCGTCTCCTGGAGGGGGAAGGGGGCGGGGTCAGCGAAGGGGCCGATCGAGGAGCGTGCACTGGGGCCTGGGCCGCGGCGGGTCTAGGAGCTGGGCCGGGGCGGGTTTAGGAGCTGGGCCGGGGCGGGTCTAGGAGCTGGGCCAAGGAGTTGGGCCACCGGAGATGCCAGACTGAGAGTAGGCCTAGGGGGCGCCCGGCGGGGGGTGGAGGTGGGTAATTAGGTTGAGGGCGGAGCTAAGGCGCCGTGAGTGGGCGGAGACAAAACGGAGAGTGGAACTCACTAAAGCCGTTTTTCACGTAAACCTGGCTCATGGTGTTAGCCCGACAGGGCGAGTACTCTGCGCGGTGGCCGTTCTGGAGCTGAGCCACGAAGCAGCCACCTACGGGCGTCTTCTCAGCCTCTTCGGTCTTTTCTAGGGCGTTCCAGTGCTGCCAGGGGGCGCAGGCCTGGAGCAGGGCCACAGGAGAGTGGGGAACCGGCGGGACTCGGCGTTGCCCCCCTCCACGTGTCCCTGCCCCCGACTGCTCTCTGTGCCCCGTTCCGCGGCGCCCACCACAATGTTGTCGTTCCAGCTGACGACCGACGCCCCCAGTCCTTGCCGGGCCTTGAAGGTTTGGAAGGTGTGGGAGCCTACGTGTCGGGTCTCATCATCTGGAGGGCACAAGAAGGGTGGGGCGCTGAAGCCCAGCCGTCCACGATCCCTGTAGCCCCCCCCCCCTTTTCCCTCCTTGCGCTGGACTCACTGAGGTGGAAGGGCAGCAAGGTGCACTGGCTGCCCTCGGCCCTCCAGGGGCACAGGAACACGCCGCCTGTCTCCTCCTGGCTGGGGCCCAGGGTTCGCGGGGCTCCCGCCACGATGGCCACTCTGCGTAGGAAAGCTGGGTGAGCGCGGTGCGGATCCCGAGGTACCACATGGCCCGGCGCCTGCGCTGAGAGCACTACCCAGAAGAGCTGTGTGCCTTGGAGGGCACTGGATCATCTTCCCTCAATGAGACATCACAGACCATGGAGGCCAGCTTTCTCATTTTATGGGCAATGAAACTGTCTCCCAGTGGGGAAGCCACGTGCCTAAAGTAGTCTAGCAAGTTAAGGGTAAAGCTGGTACTATAACCATTTGGTTTGATTTAAATATGAGGAGTTTGTCATCCTTGCTGAGAAAGACCTCCTAAGCTCTGCACACCATCCACACTCCATATCCCTCACCCTTGTGCCCCACACCAAAAGTCAGGGGTTGACATGCTCCCTAGAACTTAAGATTGTTACCAGATACCTTCCTGAGAGCTAGTTTTAATGGCGAAGAATTAGGGAAGCTACTGAGCACCTCTAAAGTGAGGGTACTGATTTCACTGAGGACCTTAGTAGATCTAGGTTCAAATCATAGTTCTACCATATATAAATTGGGGACAATACCAACCAATGTCAGAAGTAAATGAAATCAATGTATGAGAGACATTTTTGCACGGTGCCAACCAAGTAACATATAACAAGTACTCAAAAAAATGCTGTAATTTTCTTTTCTTTTAGCTCGCAGGATGTTTAAGTAATGCCTATGAGGCCAATATCTGTAGAAAGAAAGGGAAAGGGGCGCCTGGGTGGCTCAGTCAGTTAAGTGTCTGCCTTCAGCTCAGGTCATGTCCTGGGATCGAGCCCCACGTCTCCTTCTCAGCAGAGAGCCGGCTTCTCCCTCTGCCGCACCCCCTGCTTGTGCGCTCTCTCCCTCCCTCTCTCTGACAAATAAATAAAATCTTAAAAAAAAAAGGGGGGCGCGCCTGGGTAGCTCAGTCATTAAGCGTCTGCCTTTGGCTTAGGTCGTGATCCCAGGGTCCTGGGATCGAGCCCCGCATCGGGCTCCCTGCTC